CTCTCTCTTGTCTCTCTCTCTCTCGGTCATGTCTCTCCTCTCTGCTCTCTGTTCTCTCTCTTCTCTGTCTCTTCTTCTCTGGTCTTCCTCTCCAGGTGATTATTGTGAGGTGAACGTGTGCACTAATGGTGGAACCTGTGTGACTGGAGCAGGAGCTCCGTTCATCTGTATCTGCCTCGATGGCTTCTCTGGAGAAACCTGCAATGAGACTGAGGCTGGTAAACGACACCTCTGATGTGACTTTCAGATAAAACATAGACAGCCGTTTAAAGAACTGTTCATTACTGCTCGACCTCCGTTAAACTTGGCTCTCACCTCCTTCCTCTTTTGTGTGGTTCTCCTCATCCAAAGGGCCCTGCAACCCCAACCCATGCAAGAATGATGCCATCTGCGAGGTGACCGGTCAGTCCCGCAGAGGGGATGTCTTCAGCGAGTACGTCTGCAAGTGCCAACCAGGCTTCGAGGGAGTCCACTGCCAGAACAGTAAGTCTGTTCTCCCTCTTCAAGTAGCTTTATCGGGATTATATCAATAACTATTCAAAACTGTCAGTATTTCCTGTAGAGTTTGTTGTAAATGTGATGTTGGGGCTAATAATTAATAATAATAATAATAACAATAACAGTAATAATAATAATAAATAATAATAAACATTTACATCACGTTCCATGCAAAGTTATATTTTTGTTTTGGCCAGAAGGGAAGTTTTCAGTGTATTTACATCTTGATAGGCCATTTTCCAGGTCTGTAGGTGCCACTGTATATGACTCTGAGTGAGTATAGCAGATGCAACATGTTAAGCTCTCCGGGTATCTTAGGTGCCGTCTTATACCAACAAAGCATCGCTTTTTATTCATTTTTACTAAAAGTGTAACTCTGATTGTCTGTTTGTTGAAGTGTTGTAACACAGTTATTAATCACAATCATTAGTCTTGATCATTTCTGAAAAACATACATTACATTTTTTTATTAATCTAATAGCTACAGTACATCTTAACCACTTTCAGCTATAGCAGCACAAAATAAAAAGTCTTAAAAACTGAAGGTGTTACTGATCGTATCCTTCTTTTACCAGCTGTAGATATACATTCACATATAGCTAATTGGCAAGTCTAATGAGGTCTCTGTTTATGTGTCTAACCTGACACACTTAACATGCAGACAGCCTCTGTGAGTGCTGGCCACTAGACAGACATCTGTCGTCCTTATGGGAACTTCATTCACGCGTCACTCAGACCAGGTTGGTTCAAGCAGGGTCAGCCTCAGACAGGGAAGCAGCGGTGGGAACATGTGCTGCGCTCGTCCAACTGCCTCCAGCCCTGCACACAGACACAGATGGCAACTGTTTGGGCGAGAAGGCGGCAGAATAACAGTGGCCAAGTGTCCACAAAGCAGTAATTTAGCAGGAATCAAGTGGGACTTTTAAGAAAAGCCCATTTGTATTTTGTGTTTGATCATGTATACCCTTTTATCCTAGGTGTCCAAGGGGCAGATTTAATTTCACAAAAAGGTAAAAGTTGAAATGCGAGTCGAGGAGAGAAAGATGTCTTGTGTGTTTGTTTTGCGCTGTGGTCTCTTTTCCTTCTTCGATCCAGGTGCTCTCTGTTCTCTTGGCTGCATGCGGAGGCTGAGGAATTCAGCAACACACACGAACGCACAAAACATTGCACGTACATACACACACACTAACAGACTAGGAACCGCTGGGTTCAGCACTATCTCTGCTTGTTTCTGAGTCAAGACTGGCAGCAAAACTGGCAGTGAGATAATGTTAGCATTAGTTACACAGCCTTTTTATCAGTTCACCCACCCTGACAGGAATATGTCCTTTCATACTAAAAGATTTGTTGTTCAACTCCCTCATGCCTCAAACCACAGTGAAACTACACAAGTTACCATCTATTTTAATCTAGATTTCCCCAGCCCATGTTTATGCTCCAAACAGCTCATTTAACTTTAAAAAACAGAGCCAAGTGTTTGCTGTGTTTTCTTTGCCCCACATATTACAGCTCATCAGAATCCATACATTCACAAGTACCTTGGCAGGTACTTTTAGTTTAGCTGCCAGATTCAGAGCCTCTGCGGAGAAAGCATTTACACTAATTAGATGATGCCTCGAGGATAACGATGAGGGGAATATATTTGACCATGTTGGTTTATGAAACCCTCTCTGAGGACTTCCACATCAGGGAAGTACCCATCCATTCACAGCTACTGATGACTGTGTTGTGACATTTCAAGTGCTCTCTAATTTGTGTGTGTGTGTGTGTGTGTGTTTCAGGGCCCATGCAGGAGACAGTGAGGGATTTCTGGAGGATGGTCTGGCAGGAAAACTCGGCCTCCATTGTCATGGTTACCAATTTGGTGGAGGTGGGCAGGGTGAGTTCATCATCCAAGAGATTACAAAAATTGTGTGTATGTGTGTTTGATAAAGAGGTCTAATACCTGTAGAGGTAAGAGATAACATAATTTATTAACGTATTTTGAAGAATCTTAATGACATTTACAATCCAATCACGGCCAATCAGGTGAATCGAAAATAGAATTATGCCAGATATAACATAGCATTGCAATCAAGCAGAAAATGTAGTTTATTAAATTCTACTTCCATAAACTTATACAGGGTCAGACACATGGAAGAGTATTATGGAAAGAGCAAAACATTGAGCTGCTATACAAGTTCTTATGTCTAAATATTAAACCTGGTTATTGGTAATCTGTGTATACATGCAACAGGCCAGTAATCAGGGTTTTTCCCCCAATCCCTGCCTCTTCACGCATCGTGGCTCACTTTTAAAACTGTATTAGTAATAGATCATGCTGTGTCGGTCCTATGTACTTGTAAAAAGCTGATTAGAAACCCAGTTTCCAGTATACATAGACAAGAAATGGCGGTTCTCTTGGAGAAATCTGGCGGGGAATTCTCTAATCACCTACACCTTATGGAAAACAAGTTTGCGTTTTACACTATGTTTAAGAAGTCAGCTTGCTGGAGAAAGCCACTGGAAAAAACAGCACTGACTGTTGGTCGGGAGGTGATACAAACTTTAGTTTAATGAGACATTTTGTACTCCCACTTATCCAATACAACCTAATTCCTGGGGTCATTCTACTGCATGCTCTGCTTTGCTACTGAACATAAATAGAACCTAGGTAGAACCTAAGCAAGAAGGCACTGCAACATAAATGGAACAAAAGTCTGGTGATTCCACACATCTGTATCAATATGTTTTGTCCAGTTACATGAGAATCCAGTAATTTCAAATCAAAATCTTTCAAATGTCAAATAATAGTATTCATCTATTATATAATTCATGGTCATCATCTTGACCTCGGCTTCATCCCACTCTGTTAATGCTCATTACGTGATAATGACCGGCATGTAATACAGATTTAACTTTACAGTTTGAATGTAACTCGTCTTTTCCAGGTGAAGTGTGTGCGTTACTGGCCGGATGAGACGGAGGTTTATGGAGACATCAAGGTGACCCTGATAGAAACTGAACCCCTCGCTGAATACGTCATAAGGACATTCACCGTCCAAAAGGTAAACAACATCAATAACAAATACACTGAATTTTGAATGCATTATTTGATAATATAGGGATCCTTAACTTAGCATGCCACAAGGATCCCGACAAATAAAAAAAGAGCAAATAAATAAATATATGTGAGAAACATGGCATTCACAAAATCTCAATTCTATAAACAGTTTGAATTGGGATTATAAATATTTTCTTTTTCTGAAACCACAAAATGATGCCGCTGTTGATACAGTATCTTTGTGACAGTGATTACACAGGATTTATATGATGTAATCATTATATTGTGACTCATATTTACAGAATATTTCCCACAAGAACATAGATGGGATTTGAACACTCTCATGCTCTCTAGCTGCTCAGTTACACTCATTGTTTCATGTCACTTATCGCTTTTCATTTTTCAAACCCAAAACCTGGATTACCATTACAACCAATGAGTGAATGGGGATTTGAGGCAAGCAAGCAGTGTTACTTGTTTGTTTCTCGCTGTTTAAGAGGAGGCTTGAAAAGAGTAATTGGGGCCCTTGTAATCAGGCAGGAGGGATTTGAAAGGAGAAAATACAAGTGCAAGTGGAACAATGTACCATCATTGTTGTGATGCTGTTCTCCAAGGCTCTGCACAGTGAATGAAAAAACAGTAGAAATACACTTCACAGTAAGCAAGAAAGGCTCTGGTCCAAATCCTTCATTTTCCAAACAAGTTTGTTTACATGTCTCTTTTCTCTATTGCTTTTTCTTTCTATGTTGAATCCATTGTTTCTCTGTTATTTTCCCCAACTTAAATGTAGATTTATTTTCATGACTGTTGGCAGAGCAGTATGAAAAATACTGCTACAATCAAATAAACAGTCAGCAGTCTTACTCCCAAGTCGTCAAGTATTGCGGCTTGGTCAGTGGCCCTCTGCTTCGTAATATGATGCCAACGGCATACATGTACACGGACATGTTGCATGAGTGGTTCTTTATCATTGTGATAAACAGTTACTTATTATTAAAATTAGGTACAAAATGTAATGCAAATTTATTATGAAACTTCTGTAATAAATAAAATCTTACTCTGTTCTGCCATTTTCTCCCGTTCCAGTTTCTATACCTCTCTTTCTCTCTCTCTCTCTCTCTCTCTCTCACATTTTCCTCCATTCTGTATTTCCTTCCCCCTTCACTCCTGCGAAAGCAGCTTATGAAGATGAGTCTTCAAGTCCACGCTGTCAGCTCGTTTAGCAAGCCATTAATCCATACCACCTCTGCGTGTGCGTATGTGTGTGTAAAAGTACACTTAAATTCAAAGGAAAGCTGATTTTCAAATGCCTGTCATTTTGCAGAATGCATTAATACGTACAGATACACACTACAAACTACACACACGGACTCATTAAAGCAAAATTCTCAATTTTTAAACTACAGTAGGTTCTGTGATTCTGTGAGTGTGAAGAACAAAAAGAAAGCAAGATAGAGGGGAAGAGAGAGAGAGAGAGTATATACAAGTTCTGCACCACAGTTAAATAGCTTTAATTGCAGTGAATAATGGGAACAGGATCTTAATGAAAAGGTTTGTTAATGGCACGTCCAAGGAGATTAAACAAGCACTGTGGAAGAGAAGGTGACAGAAAGAGAAAATCTGTCTAAATGTGTGTGCAAGGAAGTGAGAGAGAAGGAGATGCAGGATGAAAAGAGGCAGGATGAAAAAAAACAGCAGATCACAAAAGACATTCAGACATTTTAGAATCAGTCAAACAAAGTGGTTGTGGGTGAGAGCTTTAGTATGCGTGTGTAAGCCTGTGTAGTGTTTCTGCACACCAGTCTAAAAGGCATTAATTTCAAAGTGTTCATTATATCTGTGAAATTAGAAATTTACATTCGGAGTATGTGGATGGCTGTGTAACGTCTGACCTAAAACTGAAGTGAACCAAAAACCACCTCACATAGCACAGTTTACCAATTTTGAACCATACAATCCACATGAACAAAAATTATTGAAGTAATATCCACTCACACTACATCCAGGGTTTTAGTAAAAAGAGCCTTAAATCCTGTGATTATCCTGATTGATCTCATCCAGATCTGGTTTTCCTGTCTGGGCCTTATTTGGTGTTGCTTCTGGTTCACCTGCTTTCAGACTGAAAGAACAACTGGCAGCTTTGGAAGTCTTCCATGTAGCGAGTTAAAGATAATTTCTGTAGAATCTGTAGAATGTATCTCAGTATTCTTAGAACCCAAAAATAAATTGCAACTGGACTTAGTTTAACCCAATGGACCACATCCAAAACAGCAGAAAAGTAATTTGTTCTATGGCACTCAAATCTGGAGAAACCAAACAATTGCAAGCCACAGAGGACACCAGACAGAATCGGAAAGGACTCAACAACGTACACAAATCTACAGGCAAACAAACAGCTTTGAGGACCAGACCATACACATATTAGACAGATGGGACTGATGGTTTGAGAGATGTGCAAAATAGGTTTTTTATGTCAATCTGAAGAAACCTTCCCAGAAGTGGGTTGAAACACCAGTTATTGACAATGCTCAAAACCCTCACCACAGTGTTCAGATGAGGATATGATTGAGAACAGGTGCTTCCCACAAAATCTTTGAATTTTCTCCAGAAATTGTACCACTTAGATGATTGATCTAAACCTTCACAGAAAATGGTTGGTTGTACAAGTCTTTACAGACAGTGGGCATCAAGACAGGTTTTAGGTGTCTGGTTGAGTAGAAGGTGTTTAGGACGAGTGAGACAATTAAATACAAACGAGGAGAGTCCAGTTTGAGTAATACAATGCAGTGCTCTTATTAAAATGAATAGGGAGGCAGTGCTTCTCAAACGGCGTCCAGCAATCAAACCGCATTTTCCCCAGAAAGTCCTTCTACTACATAGTCTGGGTAAAATGAACTCTGTAGAGCAACACACAAAAGCTGAGTGTGAATATTAAAGTTTTAGTTTCCACATAAAGGTCACAAATCCCAGATAATCATTCAATATATGCGTCCTCCTGGATCTTCACATGCTACAGCACACTGTTCAAGAATGCTGAAGCAAAAATGTATATATACATAAAATGTTTGTTCTGTGTCCACAACACAAAATGATTCTACTAATGTCAGGGTGGACTGTTAGAGAGCCTATACAGCACATCTACGAGGCCACAGGTTCAGCTAAAAGAGAAGCTGTACTTTTTGTTAGAGTAACCTTGAGGAAGATGCTGAAACCCTCACTTGTTCAGTTATGACACATTGCAGAAACTTATGTGAATAACAACAATAAAAGCACAGTGCAACTCTTGAATGATTGCTCATGTGAAAAGCAACCTCTCTGAAAGGTAGTCAGCGGTATTTATACCTTGTCACTAATGCAAAATGCAAATTAGAAAAGAAGTCTTAAATTTAAAGAAATGTGTAAAACGTTGCAGAGATCATTTTCTGGCATTGCAGAAAAGAGCTGCTTTAAAGTGCTTATACGGCCATCAGCTTTTCCCAACATGTCAAGCACCGTAATGTTGTTGTTTTCGTTTGGCTTTTTACCAACCAGTCATGGACTTGAGGCCCTGGTTGTGTTGGGTCGCCGTCTATCGATTTAGAGAAGTAATTTCAACATCACAAGAGAGCAAATCAATGGGAAGTCGAGTTATCAAATCACCTCGTGGTTTTCTGGGTTTTATTTTTCTCCCCTGTGCTTCCACGCCTCCCTCACTCTCTTTTTATGTCTGTTTCTCTCCTCTTTCTTTTCTTCACCTTCCTCTTTTTTTCTTTCTCAATTATGTCTCTTCATCTTTCCCTATACCACCACTTTCCCTCTCTTTCAGTTTATTTCTCATTCCTTTAGCCACTTAATTCAGTGACCTCTGCTCCTTCCCAGTCACTGTCTGTTTCTCGATTCTCCCCCTGTCTTCTTCCTTCTTATGTTTCCCTGCTTCTCAGGTTATCACAAGGCACTAAAAGCAAACAATTCACTACAACCTTGTCTATCCACCAGAGCCAGAATGGGAGCTGCAATAACAACAGTTCCTTCCCAGTTCTATTCTTAGAGAGTAAACTGAACTGAAAAGGACATGGCTCTCTCCATTTAAGCCCCGTTTAGTTTGGAATAGTATAATGGAATCGATTGGTTTGAATTATTAAAGCAGAAGCATGTAGTGTTGTGGAGAAAGATTGAACCGCTGGAAGCTGAAAAAGGGTCATACATATCTTATACTGCATTCCAGAGCTGTCAAAAAAAAAGGGAAATTTGTACATCCCGTAAAGAGATGCAGGTCAGAATTCAGAGTAGAAAACTAGAAGCAAGACCTTTCAGCCCTGCTGATGTGCAGTTATCTGACATCAACAAGGTGGGGTATGCTGTCAAAGTTATACAGAGTTATGCTGTATGACAGGTCTAAAATTGTCAGAATACACTAAGGTTTTTGGGGTGTCCTAGATGTTTAGTTTTAAGTTGTGTGATGGTCTTGATTCAAATGCAGCCTGACACCTTTGCTGGAAAACGGTGGAAAATTCTTATTTATGTATTAGCTCTGTAATTAAGGATACATTTCATTATTTAGTCATAGTCAAATAAGAGAAAAACTGAAAGTTTCACCTTGTTGATGATGTCCAATCTCCATTACTTTCTTTTTTCCTCCCTTCACCTTTATGAAGGCAGCAAAGCAAGCTGCAATGGTTCCATTTGTAGCAATATGATATATTGTAAATAAAGATGGAGTTGCACAGGGATGCTAATCAGTGGCTTTTTACCAATGCAATGACAATGCATCCGTAGCTCTGCTGTTTGAATGCATTATTTCACTGTACTTTAGCAACATGTAGCCTATTATATTATTATTATTATAGTAATACATTTCATTTCATACTTGTGCTAATTAATATCAGTAAACATCATGGATTTAGCGTAACATTTTTCATGAGGAACAATGTCTATTTTGTGCAATGCCCATGACCAATGTAATCCCTAGCTCATAAAAGGAAAGGAATTTGTGACTTCCAACTATGCAGTGCAGCATTTGTACTGAAGCAAAACAGAAGTCTGTCTTTATCATCTCAGTATGAAATGCTGCCACCAGAGTAGTAGTAGTAGTCTGTGTCCCAGGGAGATGATCTAATGTAAGACTTAACTGCTATCTATGAAGCATCAGAATGTTATCTTTGGTGTCTTATTAATATCCCCATTGTTAGCTAGGAAAGTATTTACGAGCCCTTTAAAAGTTCATTAAAATGTCAAGATGCTATCTCGTGGACAGCCACAATGGATGCTTGTTGCCATCTCATTTTGCTACATCCTCCACTGGTATGTAACAAGATGTCTCTTTCTGTGACAATAAGTGGTGTGGAGTCAGGGCTGTTCCAACTACAGATTTTTCTTGCCAACTACTAGCTAGTGGCAGCAGCAAGTACAGTTAGCACATGCAGCAGTGCACCAATAAGAGACTATATGAAAAAAGAAAAGTCAACAATTCCTTGATATTTTCGCACAGCTCCCGAATGGAGTTTAACGTTATTTTGTTTCTCTGCAACTATCTTACTGATAAAAAGTGGCAACTATCTTACTGATAAAAAGTGGCTCGACGAAGACTCTTCTCGTCAACTAGCTGATAACTTTAAGCACTTGTGATATCTTAAAATTCATACATAAACGAGGGAAAATGACTGCGAGATACCCAAAATCTCTGAGTAAATTAGGCAGCTTAACTGAACCATGCCGTTTCCTCCTGTAAGTCTTTCCCAAAAGGGCCATCATGAGATTTGTGAAATCAATTAATCTTTTTTGTGGAGCCAAAATGGCCATCAGTTTCTTCAAATCTCCCCTGTAAATTAAGCAAATGAGCCACGATAAGTCTTCCTGTCTCTCATTCCCATAAGTGGCCCAAAGTGCCATCTTGACATCCACGAGATCAATTTATTTTCCATCTAAAGCCAAAGAGGCCACATAGCCCCTAGGTTCCTGAAATCCTCGCTGTAAATTAGGCTGCTGAACCATGATATGTCTTCTTGTCACTCTTTCCCAAAAGGGCCATGATAAAATTTGTGAGATCCATGCATTTGTCATCATCAAGAGACAAAATGGCAAATAATCGTTTTCAGCGATTGCCATTGTAAAATATGCAACTCAGGTGTAAAATCTCTCCTTTGTGTGTTTTTCAGAAGGGTCATCATGAGATCCGCGAACTGCGTCAGTTTCATTTCACCAGCTGGCCTGACCATGGCGTTCCCTGTTACGCCACCGGACTGCTTGGTTTCATACGACAGGTCAAGTTCCTCAACCCGCCTGATGCAGGGCCCATAGTGGCACACTGCAGGTAAGAACACAGACACACACTTGAAGTATACACAGGTTTTGTACAGAAGATAAACTTAATTCCCTGATGCTGTTGGTCAGTGGCTGCACAGACCAGACAAGGACGAACAAGTACAGCCAGTCACTCAGTAGTACAGCTCCTGGCTCTTTGGCTGACCTGGCAGAGAGCAAAGGGTTTTGCAGGGCCAGTGTAACACAGAGCACAGAGAGTGTCCTTTTTGTTTTTGTATGGAAAGAAATGGGCCACTTTGAATATATTACATATTTTGATGATCATTTCAAAGCATGTTTATTATACAGAGGAACCCACAAGCAGAACACAAACTTGGTTGGTTATGATTACCAAAGACAGGCTTTACTGAGAAACAGTTGATGAAATGGTGACGTGAAGCTCCTGCAGGCAGTGGTGGGGAGATTATGGCTGAGATCCAGGCAGAGTGGAACTGAAGGTGGAGGCAGTGTGGCTGATAGGAAGGAGCAGGCAGGTAGCTGAGGTGAAGGTGATGATCCTGAGGCACGGGAAAAAGTTCTCTAACTGGCCACGAATGTTACTACCAGGCTTGTAGAGACAACGATCTGACAAAGAGTGGATGGAGAACCAGGGTTTATATACTGCAGGACTGATGAGTTGATTACTGGCAGGTTTGGGCAGTCAGACAGGTGAGCAGGTAATCAGGGAGAGTGGGAGGAGTCCAAACACACACACAGGGAAACCAGGGAGGAGAAAACTCTAGCAACTACCGACTATAATAATAAAGAGAAACTTTCTCAAAATGAGACACTTTCTCATTATTTTGACTTAGTATCTCATTATTTTGACTTAGTATCTCTATATAATGAGAAGCCTTAATTAGAACAGGCCTGTATGTTGTTTCCTCATATGCTCCAAAGCAACAGAAGCAAGTGAAGTTGTTTGGCAGACAAAATGGATACTGTCATTAAAGCGATTTTGGCGGTTTTAGAGGAATCACATAATATCAAACTAAGTCTTCCTTAATCTAGAGAGAAAACTACAGAAGAATCCGCTCTGGCAGAGACGAAAAAAGAATACTGACAATTTTGAGACTTTGCAAAGTCTCGAAATGACTAAGTACCATAATCTAACTGGACTTTATGTGGACATCCATTATTTTCACAGTGTCTATAAAATAACTTGCGATAATATGAGGGTCATTGTTAGTTTTGTCTGCTTCCAGCCATCTATGCAACCACTGATACCTAGGGCATAAATCTTTAATTTTTCATACCCATCTACATGCCATACATAGCTTTCTCTCTAGGGTCCGGAGACTTGGTTTGATATTATATGATTCCTCCAAAACCGCTAAAATCTCATGATTTGTGAATCCACGTCTAAAGTAGTCTTCAATGACAGTATCCATTTGGTCTGCCAAACTTTGTCTTATTCACTTGCTTTTGTTGCTTTGAAACATATGAGGAAACAACACACAGGCCTAGTCAAAGTCGAATATTAAGAAAGTATCTCATTATTTTGAGAAACTAAGTCAAAATATTAAGAAAGTATCTCATTATGATGAGTTAAAGAATCCTTTTTTTTCCCTGTCACATTGGCGGAAATGGGCTTCATACATACTAGACCCTGCAAAGTTGTGAATTTGAGCTTCCATTAATAAGAGGAAGAATGTGCTATTTGGTCTTTCAAAAGTTATGTAGTCTTACTTTAACCCCTTTCTATAGTTGTAGTTCTGGGCTTTTCCCCCTGATTTTACATACCTCTATTTAAAGCTGCAGTTGGTAACATTTATGAAAGTAACTTTTTGTCATTAGTTGCTGAAACTTTCACTATATCCTGACAGTAGTACATGAGATGTGTGTGAAAAAATCTGGTTCCTCTGGCCTTTCCCAGTCCTCCTAATGGCATTAGCAAGAATCCACCGGGCCTGAACAAAAACAACCAATCAAATGTAGGATGTGTAGGATTTAGTGGCATCTAGCAGTGTAGTTGTAGTTTGCAACTTTATGTGGGCCAGCAAAGCATTTTTATCCCTTACCCCATGTCCCACATATTGAGGCGTGCCCAAATTGTACTGGCAAATCACTGCAGGACAGTTACTTTTCTAAAAATCTGTTTTCATGATGGACAAAAAAACTTTAAATCAACATGGTTCAGCTTCAGTTTGAATAGT